TACAAATTTGATAAAGAAAATAGGACGAAGATGAATTAAAAAAAAAAAAAAACATAACCAAATATTTCAGTAGATCAGTCAATAGGTAGGATCTACTGATACAACTGAACTGAATCACACCAAATCACACCGGTTCTGGTTCTGAGTTGTGTCCAGATAATAATTCGGTTTCTGTTCTGAATTGATCATATATTTAAAAATAATATAAATGTCTCATGGTTTACCTTGTATTTTTGTTATATTTTATTTTTAATTAAAGGTAAATTTGATAGATAGTATATAAGATCGATACTTTTATATAAAATAAAAACACATTTTATTAACGTATAAACAAGTTTACTATTCACTATTTTCTATCTTAAATATTATAAAAAATGAAGTTTCATATTGTTTTATTAGAGGTAATTATTTATGTCAAATATAATTGGATTTAATTGAGCCAGAATCGATTAATTAGCCCAATTTTGGGGGGTCTGATTTTATAGAACCAAAAGGGTCTAATTCAGAATTGGGTTTACATGGTTTATTGGTTTCAAGAACACGTTCACCCTATCCAGACTAGATCTGATCCATTGGTAGCCCTAGAAAAGAATATGAGGTAACTTATGTTCACGGATCCAATCTAGATCTGCTACCCACAAATACTACAGCTGCTCAGTAGGGAGATGTTCCCAATTCTCGATGTGTGGCTATAGTGTATTGTGGGTAGCGCGTTGGAGCAGGGAGATGTTTTCAATTCTTGATGTGTGGCTGTAGTGTATTGTGGGTAGCGTGTTGGAGGAGGGAGATGTTTCCAATTCTTGATGTGTGGCTGTAGTGTTTTGTTGGTAATGTATTGGTGGAAGATATGGAGTCTTCTGTATTGTATATGAAGAAAGAATAATTGTCCAATGAATCGCACTCTAGAAAGATTAAGGGCATAAAGGTTTGCATTGAAGTCTGACATCTCAAATGTAATACTTGCTTTTAATGGAGCATTCAAATAATGTTGTTTAGAAATTTGAATGCTAAGTTATGAAAATTAACAATTGACCATTTTAACTCTAATATGAGAGAGTTTGTTTAACAATTTAATACACTTGTTAACAATTAATTAAATGAGTATAAAGCGATTAATACGAAGTCACATCTGCCCCCCACATAATGCGTCTCAAAAGCGTCCCACAGCACTAATTAATTAATTAGTCAAAATAATTAATTAATTAAAAGCAAATAATTATTATTAGATGTTTCAAATAAATAATTGCATAATTATCTTATTCAATACATAACTTGTAATTATAAATAGCTAATTATCAATAATGAATTATTAAAAAATAACTAAATAATGATTATTAACCAAATGAATAAACAAAAAATATAATATAATAATTAGATAATTTAATAATTAGTATTATATATTTCAAACAAAAATCATTAACTATTTTAATAAATACACATCTAGATAGTGAGGATAATACCTAATAAAAATAATGAAATAATAATTCTAATTAAATAAATAATTATTAACATAATAGTTATTAACAATCGACTTTTAAAAAATAATTGAACAACTGAGAATTTAATAAATAGTTTAGTATTAATTAAAAGAGTTATATTATTTTATTATTATTTTGTTAATATTTTATTAGTGTTTATAATATTCTGTTATATGCATTATTATTTCTGATAATAAAGAAAGAAGGAATAAGGATATTATTATTATTATTATAAAAGGAGGAAGTGGGGATATTTTTGAAAATAAAAACAGGAATTTACACTACTAGCCTGTACGAACTAAACACTAAATCTGAATAAAAAATACCAACCCAACACTCTTAATGGCTCTTAAAATGAGTTCGGATTTCGCTCATATAATGGTTCTCACAGCCACAGCATGTTGCAGCTGCACATGAGGAAATACTCTTGTATTTTTCATGGGTGATGTTCTCAATGCATGGTTTCAAGTTCTGTGAGGAGGGTGTGAGGACCAATTGTATAAGGGGTAAATCTGAACGTATTTACCAATTTAGATCTCCCCATGAATGTTAACATGCAAATACATGAAATGTTCTCAATGTGTGAAGTAGCTGTGATAGGTGGGTAGGAGATCCAAATACCATACAGACCAGTAGGGGTGAGTATGGGTTGATTTCGTTCGGTTTGGTTTGGTTCCATGACAAAACTTGGAAGTTACTCTATCAGGGTCGGTTCCAGGCTTTTGGAACCAGAACCTACTCCTTAAAGGTTGATTCCAACGTTGGTGGTACTAGGGTTGGTTCCAAGGGTCTACTTCTGGAACCTATTTTTTCTTTACTATCCCCTTAAAAAAATCAAACATGTTTTCTAAAAACTTGATGTTCAATAAATATGTTATATAGTTTAAAACTTACATTATCTTTMTCGATGAAATTGAGTAATTTAATATGTAGATTATCATGATACATCAATGTACGATTCAAAATTTATCATTATAATTTATATTTTGTAAATATTAACTTTTACATTACTTATTATACACATTCAAATATTAAAATGAAAACAAATGATCAAATCACTTGAGTAAATCAATGGTCAAGTGAGACAATGGCTTTTGTAACCATGAGTGCTTGAGTTTAAATATTCACATTCTTAAAAGTATTTTGGGATTTATTTCAAGACAAGTTTGGTTCTAACGCCAATTCTACCAAAGTCGGTTCATCATGTCAGTTCAGGTTGGGTAAACCCTTAGAAACTAGAACCAGTTTGGGTGGGGGTCAGTTCCAAGAATTTGGAACCAGACCCTACCCTGTAATAAATTGTGTAGGGTTGGTTCAAGGCTAGTTCAAGGTTGATTCTATTTTGTTCCGGGTAAAACCTACCCATTTGCTCACTCCTATAGGCCAATGTTTTCGAACCATCGTTGACTTGGATGGTCGGACCGTTAGGCCCAACAATCGTCTAGGCAAATGGGTAAAACCTACCCATTTGCTCACACCTATAGGCCAATGTTTTCGAACCATAGTTGACCTGGATGGTCGGACCGTTAGGCCCAACAATCGTCTAGGCAACTGGTTCTATTTCACCCTTAATCCATTATTTGGCAAAAATTTGTTGACTTGGTCAACGACCCATTGATCCGAGTGGTTAAACCATCAATCTATTTGACCTGAACAATGATTTTGACTGATTTTTATTTAATTATTTATTTTTTTTTTTATTTTTTTAATTTGGAATGGGCCATCCATTCAAACTGGATAGTTGAACCGCTGAACTAGAACCTATGACCAAAGCAATTTCATTTCCAGGTTTATTTTTAAAACATTGACCCAAACACTCTTGAGCCTTGAGCCTTAAATTCTAATGGACGGGTCTAAATCACTTCTAATTATACATTTAATTCTTTTGAAGTTTTAATTAAGCTGGCCAACAAAAGCTATTTAAAAATCGTTTGGTTTGAAGGAAAAAGTAGGGAAAGGAAATTTTTACAAATCTTGTATAGATTTCTCTACCTTTTCCTTCAAACCAAACGTAGCCTAAGTGATAACTCAGTATTTGATCTAGGGCTGTTCACGGGTCAGGTTGGGCCGGTTTACTGAGATTTTTTCAATCGACCCGACCTGGTCGGGTTACCTGAAATTGAAACCAAAATTGACCTTATGTAAGCAAAACCGACCTGGTCGGTTTGAGTCGGGTTGGGTCGGTTTGGATCAGTTTCGGCTCTAAGTTCAACCATAGTAATAAATTGGTAGATTGGAGAAAGAAGACTGAAATTTGATGTAAAAAATGATACATAATTCTATTAGAGAAAGAAGACTGAAATTTAATGTAAAAAAAGACACATAATTCTATTAGAGAAAGAAGACTGAAATTGGTAGGGGGCGGACCAAGTTAGAATAGAAGTTATCAAGAAAATAGAAAGTCAAACTGTTTTAGAGAAAGAAAACTGAAATTTGTATATTTCAAGAAACATTCTAATCTAAGTAAAAAATGACACCTAATTCTAATTGTAATTAGTTGCCTATTTAGTGTAAAAGACTATAAAAACTAGAATTCTTTGATTCTTTTCTTTAAACCTTTCCAGAAAAATTCCTTGTCTAATTGTCTTACAATACTTGCCATTAATGTCATTTCTAAGTAGAAGACTAGAAATTAAGTTAGGTTATAATTAGGATAGAGACAACTTAGTTAAGTAAGAACTAAATAGATTGTAAATACTAATTAAGAACTAATTATTAACTACTAAGTCGATTCAGTTCAAGTCGATTTCGATTTTCACATATGAAAACCGAAATCAACCCAAACCATCGGTTTATAATTTTTTACAACCCCAAACCAACCGATGCTGAAGAAAACCCGATCGATTCGGGTTGGTCGGTTTAATCGGGCTGGGTCTTCCTATGAAGAGCCCTAATTTGATGCAAAGCATGCTCGTGAGTCGTGACCCGAGCTCCCGGTACGAAGGAACACAACCTATGCAATCGAGAGATTGAATCCAGTGAAACCGTTGGTTCACGAGGAGAGTGCACCCTCCAATGGGAGGCTTGCATGCCACCCTTTTTGAATCTAGCAAATCCGTTAAAGTTTGGTTCACACTCTCGTTAAGCGAGTCAATCTGGTTCAATCAGTTAGAAAAAGACAAAATCAAATGAAACAAGTCTTTTTGCCTCTCATTTGTCTGAATTCCCCTTTCTTCCACTTTCATTTTCACCCGAGCCCTGGTCCAAGAGCAAGAGACATCCAACAGTAATTTCACCAAGCTCTGACGATGTGGAGTCAATTGGCAGTAAGCATTTCTTCTTCTCCTTCCCCTTCCAACCTTGTTATTCCTCTTCCTTAATATCTTCCTCCTTCCTCTTCTTCTAGTAGGAGACTACCAGCGGCAATTTCACTATTGCACCAAGTTCACCTTCAACTTCATGATTCTTATTGCAGAGAATATCCTTTAAGAGCTATTATTCATATGGCCTGGTTCCCTCCCACCTTCTGTGTATACTGTTAAATTTAATCGTCACGGCTGTTGTATAGGTAGCCCTAGAAGATCAAGAAAGGTTTCCATGCTTATTATAGTAGTTCTTCATTTACATTAGTTACCAAGTTTTCTCGATATCACACTTTACTACTATTTACATTACATAAATTTAGTTCAATAAAAATCAAACATCAATCCATTTTTTGTGACTTTCCAAAAAACATCCATTTTTGTGGATCTGATCCCCATCCCAGATTCTAAAACTGGTAATCAAATATAGATTACACAGAAGTAGGCCATGGAACTTGAACCACAACCATGTGTTCATCGAACGTAAATGGAACCTCTTCACCATCAATTAAACAAACTTTTGGTTTTGTTTTTATGCAAACAACCTCATCTCTCTGGTTCCCCTCACTCCAATTCGAACCGAACTTGTCTCATCATCCTACTCCAATGATTGAATGGCACCGCTGGTATTAAGCATGTCAACTAATACAATAGGAGCAAATTGGATTTTGCTCGATAACAACTTCATTAGAGAATCTGTAAGAAACACGAAATTAAAAGGCTCCAATGATATCTCCATATGTTTCCATGACTTCAAGGGCATCAACTTCTTCGCTTGGAACATATAAACAACAAACACTTGTACCCCTTCAATGGAAATCAGGTTCTTTCCGTTTTCTAATCAATATCGTTTGGGTTCATCGTAGCCAACACAGCTGCAAAAACTCAGAGGCACAATTGTTTGTTTGAGCTTGACGGCACCAACCTCCCGCTAGGTGACATGCCATCAGAGTTGGAAGGCAATCACTGTCGAAGCTTGGCGAAACAATGAAATCACTACCGGTGGTCTTCTGGCAAAAGAAAAAGAAGAAGATATTAATGAAGATGAATAGCAAGGTTGAAAGAAAAAGGAGAAGAAAGGATGTTTACTGCCGATTGACTACATGCCGTTGGAGTTTGGTGAAACAGTGAAATCGCCGCCGGTGGTCTATTGCTAGAAGAAGAGAAAGGAAGAAGATATTAACAAAGAGGAATAACAGGGTTGGAAGGAGAATGAGAAGAAAGGATTCGACTTATTCTTATCGCCAGTTGGCTCCATGCCGTCAGAGTTTGGTGAAATCGCTGCCGGTGGTCTCTTGCTCTTGGGCTAGAGGCTCGGGTGAAAATGAAAGTGGAGGAAGGGAAATTCAAACAAATGAGGAAAAAAAGGCTTTTTATTGATGGTTTTGTCTCTTCCGAACCGGTTGAACCGGATTGACTCACTTAACGGGAGTGTGAATCGAACTTAACATTAACGGAATTGTTAGATTTGAAAAGGACGATGTACACGGCTCCCATTGGAGGGTGTACGCTCCCCATGATTTGAGCTCTTCAATCGATGCATGGCCGAGCTCCACCACGTGTACATGGGAAGTTCACCTGGCGACCCACTGAGCAAAACTACCGTCACTGCCCATCACACCTAGCACCCCACTTAGAAAAGCCATCATCACTGTTAAGGCCATCAGTCATGTCTGGCAATGCCATCGTCACATGTGCCGGGCATGTTAATCGTCACATGTGCCTCCCCGTGCATGAGCACATGGCATCACAGAGGCAACACGTGTCTTTACCGAGCTCTAAATAATCCACTCTAAGCAACAAGTGCCCTTTAGAAAGGTCAAAGTATCTCTATCACTTTAACACATCTCATGAGAGGCCTTGCCAATAGAAAGGTTTGTTGAACATTCATTAGAGACTTTTGACCTCATTTATTACTCACTCATATAACACACAACCCTACTCACTTGGCCATTGAATACCTAAGCTCGGAATATCATCACGGGCCCTTTGGCCTCGTCTTCCCTTGCATATATATCTTCCAAATTGTCCCGGGGACCTCAGCGGCTTTTGTTTTTCATCAAGGCTAAAAGCACTCGCAAACGCTGCCATAGCATGGGATACGTGGCAAGTATGGTAAAATATTGAGATTTTGGTGTAGCCACATTCATCATTTTTTTCTTTTTCCTAGTTCTAGCATATTCTAATCTGTTTTAGCAGATTCCTCAATTTTTCCTAAAATAACGACAGTTTCTCTGACAACGAGAGAAATAAATCAAAAGCACAACTCAGTGGCCAAGCTCAATAATTGAAGGGTAAGATATAAAAACCTCCCCCTGAGGTTTTATTATCAGAAAAACCGCATAGTATTGTAAAAACCTACAGCTGCTACCTCCCTTTGTTATTGCCCTGAATAGAAAACGTTGGTCTAACATTAGTTTTTTCAAAAATATCCATCTTACCCTTAAATCTATTAATTCAGATAAAACTTTATTAAATTTTTTTTATTTTTAAATAAAAAATCCCCAAATCAAATTGAAAAAATATAAAATATTTCTCTATAAAAATGTTAAGTCCAATGAAATCTCGAAGCACAAATCTGATATTTTGAATTATATTAAAATATGCCCTAATAAAATATGTAAGGGTAATTTTATAACTTTAAAATGTCCATTATTGAAAAAAGAACTAAAAGAAAAATAATTGCAAGTCTTTATAAAAACAAAGACAGGTTTTTGTTAGAGTGAAACTTAATGAAATTATTATGATTATTATGATTGACATAAACTTCAGGAGGGAGGTTTTTATGTTTTAGTGGGTCAGTTTCAGACGAGACGCGGTTTTGAGTTAGCGATACGTCGATAGGGTATATGGGCCTGTATCAGTAATGTTTATTTTGTTTTTATTTGTTTTAATCTGATTCAGAGGAGCCAGTTGAAGGCTGATCTATCCCCTGAATCACTCGGTGACCCGAAACATCCCTGTAGAGACATATCGAAAAAGCCCTAAAATAATAGGTATTAGCTGATACGATCCGATACATAACGATATTTTAAACCTTATTATTAATTACTCTAAATCCACTTTGAAGAGTATAATATTGCTAAATAAAAAATAGGTTACTATGCCATAAAAATTGAATTAAAGCCCGTATGGAAAAAGGCGAATAATCAATACCCAAAAAAAATACATGATTGACGGTCATATTTTTACCAAACAAGTGGATGACCAACTTTTTATCCCCTTCTTGGCTCTTCTGCGTGGTGAATGCTGCAGGACCACTCTATTGAGTTTAATTCCTTTGTTTGTTTGTTTTTATTTATTTTATTATTTTTATGTGGCATCCATGTATCGACAGCTTGGGCCCATTTTGATCCCACCACGTGTAAATAACCTGAACAGTGTTCAAATAAGGCGTCCGACACACTGACCCTATCCATCCCATTAAAGAGGTGGTCTAAAAATCTAGGGGGCCCACTTGCCTTGTTGCAGACTTCGATTCCATGAGTCTTTTTCAAAGCCGAGACCTAACAGAGCTTAATTACAATGTTTTAAGATCCCATTGGAACGATCGGACGGTCAGACCGTTAGATTCGAGAACTAGTGAAGTGTTTTTAGAATCTTAGGGTTCATATTTTTAAAAAACCGGTAGAATCAGTCAAAATCTGATAGCACTTTACATCTCGATATTGGACTGTAATCGGATCGGACTTCGATTGGATTTAGAAAATAATTCTGAAAATCTGCATTCAAATTTGATCTGAAATCCCATCTAATTTTAAGACCTCGGATTCAAATTTGAATCTTAATGGGCTCAGATCAGATTTTGATTTAATTAAACTTTATTTTAATTTTTAAAATATCAAAAAATTAAGAATTTAATTATTTTCCAATTTTTATATATAAAAAATAATATAAATATAATATACTGAATTAATTATATATATAAATTTATATATAATATAATATATAGGATATATTTTTTTATAATTTAATTATAATCATTTAAAATATATATATTAAATTAAATAAATATTATAATATAATCGGATTTGGATTTTAATTGAATCGGATGGATCAAATTTAAATCCGATTCATTTATTAATCGGATGTAGATTGCAACATCCAAATCCAATCCTTGAATTTTTATATATGATTGACGGCCATGTCTCCACACTTAAAGACTAAGACATGGCAAATTTTTCAATTTATACATATAACCCAACGATTAAACTATTGACCCACGACCGAAGAAGCACTCCAGTTTTGTGTTCGGTCTAAATCTTAAAACACTGTTACACTGTGTTTAGTTGAGAAAATTCGAATATGCACAAATTGTTTTAGGTAACCTGATCCCATCTTTTCTAGTTTCTAAGTAGTGCAGTCAATGCATCAGATTTATGTGACAGAACCGAACTGACCCAACCGATATGAGTCGAAGTTGGCTCTTGCTGTTCCTAACCAATTATATAATTTTTATTATGATTTTTGTTATCTAATGTCCAAAAAGAGTATAATTCCTAAAAGTAAATAAGATAATTTTAATTAAAGTTAGAACATTTATTTTTGTCAATATATAAATAATTTAATATTTTAGTGTCAATTTTATTAAGGTTATTGATGGGATCGTACCTTATCCCCATTGAACCACAGTGGATGTTGACATGGACGAATACCGAGCCATGGCCTCGACCGACATGGATTATTGCCATTCATTAGGAGCAACTACTGTTGTACACATGATGGGCTCCTCCCAGAAAGAGGAGCGCAGAACCACCTTAGAACCTAGATTAGAGGTCATCCCGGTGCACATATGCCCTCGAAAACCGAGGAGTAAGATGACATCACTCTATATGTATTTAAGGGCACACTACTCAAGATATTACTCTCTACTTCCACTCTTAACATTCTTGCCCTCTAGTCTCTTGTTCTTCTAAGTTTTTCAATATTATTTAGCTAGGATCAGTTTGTCCTTTACAGCCCGACCCAGTCAATTTCTTCTTCTCTATACTAACTTAAGTATTGGAGTGCTCCTCCCTTATGAACAATCTTGGGGTTTCTGACTTTGGCCGTTATTGATTGTCAAACTCTCATCAAATCATCCACCACAACTCGTCCAATACAGATCACCCAGATCAACTTGTCCAATTCAACAAAACTCTTATCTATTGCTCGTCCACCTTAATTTGGGCAACATCAAATAGGTGCCCATATGTGGGAATTGACACAAAAAACCCTTGTTTTTTTTCTTCCTCCTTCTATAACTGACGGCAATGCCTCCAAAGAACATCTCCTACTACTCCAACACTCACTCTCGTTCCAAGGGATCTCACTTTGTATGTTTCTCTTCACCTTGCGAGTCCCAAAATCAGATCATGACACAAGAGCAATTCAACTATCTACCATGACAAGTTGAAGACCTCATCACCTTATTCCAAGCTCCTGGACAATGTATCCCTTTACCTATGGTTCCTCAAGTTGATCCTCCAATGGAGGACCCCAAAAGGCACAAGAAGGAGCCAAAAGGGCTAAAGAAAGAAAAATGAGCCACGTCCCTCACCAGGAATGTTTGGCGACAATGCTCGAAACTGAGCCCAAAACACTCACTCCCGAAGCATCCAGCACTTAGGACAAATCCCAACCAATGAGAGATTAGGACCCCAGGACAAATCCCTTTACCTATGGTTCCTCCAAAGTTGACCAAATGAATGGACATCGACAACGAAATTCAATACATGCACAAGTGGCTTGATGATCTTGAGAAGGGAACCGGATCTAGTAAGCAAAACAAAGTAAGCACGTTAAATGAGCACTTGATAAATATTTTGATAATTGTCAAAAGTGAGTATTAATCTTTTTCAAGGGTAGCCTGGGGGTATTTTAAGGAACAAGTGTCAAAAAAATTTCTAAGTGCTCATTTAACGTGCTTACAACATTGTGCCTACCTGATCTGAACTGCTTGAGAAGAGCCATAATCTCCATCACACACTAATTGAGGAGCCTGGTCAGCAAAGAGTTCGCCTTTACTTAGGACATCATGGATGAGCTCTCCTTACTAGGTTCAAACCGATGCAGTTTGAAAAAATATGACAGCACCATCGATCCCATGAACCATTTGAAGGGATTCGAGACCACTATATGCTTTTACACGAGGTTTTGGACGTGCTGATGTGCAAGGTATTCATCTTCACTTTGAAGGGAGCAGCCCAACAGTGGTACTGCCCTACCTCCTCGTTTCATCGCTACTTTGAAGGGAGTTTAAGGATCTCTTCTCAACGCAATTTATTAGTAGTTGATGACACTAGAAAATAGCTGCCAATCTTATACAGCTGAGGCAATGAAACAATGAGTCCTTGTG